AAATTAACTTGTATGTGCTAAAGCAAAGAGGGAGGTCAGTAACAATTTAATTTCATTTAGGCTTCTCACATTCACTTTTCTGCTTTCTAAAATCTATTACTTAAAAGACTGAAACAGTCTGATTCTGATTTCTAATGCAGACATGTAAACCAAAAATTAAATAGAAGTATTAATATGCAAAAAAAAGGCACATACGGTGGCTCTATTATTAAAAAAAAATGAGATTAGAAGGTTAATTCTTAAGCCTGTCTCTCATTCCCTGGACTGGGGAGCCCTGCATCCCAGCTGGTTGTGCTTGCTGCTCAGTGCTGCAACCGCCTCACTAACAGGTTGCAGTAAGGGATGGCTCTCCAGACAGCCTCTTATTGACATTCATGTCATGGAGAGCTCACCATTTCTTCAAAATATATTTTGAATTTTAATTCCTGTGGCTTCCAGAGGAAAAAATAGCAGCAATGTGACTCATCTAATTGGTGAAATGGTATTTCTCCGAATTTGCCATACATTGCTCTAGAGCTACAGCCCAGGGGAATGGCGAGAGTCTCGTGAGTGGCAGGCAGTTGCTGAATGTCATAGAATTATCAAGATTAGAAGACAACTTTAAGATGATTCAGTCCAACTGTCAACCCAGCACCACCACTGTAACCCTTAAACCACTAACCATATCACCCAGTACCAGATCCAGATGTTCCTTAAACACTTCCAGGAATGGTGACTCCACCACCTGCCTGGGCAACTTATTCCAGTGCCTGACCTCCCTAACAATGAGAAATTTTTTCTAATATCTAATCTGAATCTCCCCTGTCTCAGCTTTAGGCCATTTCCTCTCGTCTTCTCGCTGTAGGAACAGCAGAAGAGACCAGCCCCCAGCTTACCACAACCTCCTTTCAGGGGAGCTGTAGAGAGTGATGAGGTCCCCCCAACCTTCTTCTTCTTGAGACTTCATAAACCCAGCTCTCTCAGCTGTCCCTTATAGGATGTGGGCTCCAGACACTTCCCCAGCTCCATTGCCCTTCGCTGGACACACTCCAGCACCTCAGTGTCCTTTTTAAAGTGAGACACCCTAAACAGAACAAAGCACTCAAGGTGCAGCCTCACCAGTGCCAAGTACAGGGTCAGAATCACTTCCCTGGTCCTGCTGTTCCTGAACCAGGCCAGGATGCCATTGGCCTTCTTGGCTGCCTGGGCACACTCTGGTTCATGTTCTGTCGCTGTGACCAGCACTCCCAGATCTTCTTCCACTGGGCAGCTTTTCAGCCGCTCTGCCCAAGACCTGTAGCACTGCAGGGGGTTATTGTGGCCAAAGCGTAGGACTTACACGCTGTTGAAGTAAAAAAATGGTGTTGATTAAGTGAAAATGTGGAGTTCACTAAGTAAAAAATGGAGTTCATTAAGTAATAAATGGGGCTTTTGTAGAATCACAGTAAGGTTTGGGTTGGAAGCAAACTTAAAGATCATCTTATTCCAACCCCCTGCCATGGGCAGGGACAACTTCCACTAGACCAAGTTGCTCAGAGCTCCATCCAACCTGGCCTTGAACACCCTTCCAGCACCTGAAGGGAACTTACAGAAAAGGTGGGGCAAGACTATTTACAAGAGCATGTTGTGACAGGACAAGGGGGGATGGGTTCAAATTGAAAGAATTTAGGTTTAGATTAGATACTAGAAAAAAATTCTTTACTGCGAAGGTGGTGAGGCCCTGGCACAGGTTGCCCGGGGAAGCTGTGGCTGCCCCATCCCTGGAAGTGTTCAAGGCCAGGCTGGACGGGGCTCGGAGCAACCTGGGATAATGAAAGGTGTCCCTCCTCATGGCAGGGGTGTGGAAGTACATGATCTTTAAGGTCCCTTCCAACACAAACCATGCTATGATACTATGATCCTATGAATCAGTGGCCCCCTGGGATGGGACCCCCACAGCTTTATTCGCTATAAACCTTGAAGAAGAACGCGCGTTCTCCGCGGTTATGTAGCACCCCCCGGGGCCGGACCCCCGGCCCCCTCAAAGCCTCCGCACAGCGGGGGCCCAGCGCCGCCGCCGCCGCCCGCCCGCAGGGGGCGCGCGAGGCCGCTCCACGTGACTGTGCCCACGCCCCGCGGAGGCTCCAGCGCCGGCCGGGCGGGAGGGGAAGGGAAGGGGAAGGAAGGGAGGGAGGGAACGGGACGGGACGGGAGGCAGCGCCGGGCCCAGGCCGGCGGCCGCGGGGCTGCGAGCGCCGGGGGGCGGCCGCGGAGCGCCACGATGTCGCGGGCCGTGCTGCAGCCGAGCCAGCAGAAGCTGGCGGAGAAGCTCACCATCCTGAACGACCGCGGCGTCGGCATGCTCACCCGGCTCTACAACATCAAGAAGGTGCGGGGAGCGGGGGAGACGGGGAGCCGCCTCGGCGCGATGCCCGCCGCCGCTCGGGCCGGCGCTGCGCAGGGCTCGGCCGCGCCGCGGCCTAGCGGCGGGGCCCGGGAGGCTGGGCGGGAGCCGCCGCCCGGCCGGGGAGGGGGGCCGGGGCTGCCCTGCGGCCGCCTCATCGCTCCCGGGAGGGGTGGAAGGAGGGATGGAGCGGGGAATGGAGGAGGCCGGGCCGGTGCTCGCGGCGGCCGCGGGAGCGGGGCCTGGTCCCGGCGAGGCCCCGGAGCCGCTCCCGCCCCGCTGCCGTGCATGACTCACGGGAGCCGCGAGTGGGCAGCGCCGCCCGGGCTTTTCCCACGCCGAAACCTGTCGCTACCGAAGGGAAAAAAAAGGGAGTTGGGGTAAAATTAGTAAGTTTAATTTCGATAAGTTCGAGGCGCGCGGTTGCTTAGCAGCTCCCGGCGTGAGATGGAGCGGGTGTTTGGAGCGGCCGTGGGTGCTGGGGCTGCTCCCGGAGGGAGTGGATCGATGTTGGCCTCGGTGAGGTGGCTCGGCCGTGCAGGAAGCTGCAGGTCTCGGTGCTAAGACAAGGATGGGTCGGTCACGCCTCCGCGCTCGGTTAATTTCTCCTCTGGAAGTAATCGTTGTGCTTTCCTGTAGGGAAGAACATAGTTCATGGCCACCCCCTGTGCCAGGTGCTTCATGTGTCCTTCTCAGCTTCATTTTCTTAACGTGTGATACATTATCTGAAAGTGTACGGCCGCTTAATCCCTTTCCAGTAATTAATGCTAGTTAGATTTTGTTGCTTTGCCTTTTGTACAGATATTTCTGGGAGGTTTTTTGTGTTTCAAAGAAAATGTTAGCTATTACCTTAAAGCAGCAAGCACATACACCTTTCCCGATTAAAATCTCAGCCCTGTTTCCATACTGGGTTCAACTGCAATGGCAGAGGGAGTTTGAGTGATTTAGGTGCTTATTTGATCGCTCTAATTTATGGACCCAGGTTTCTGTCAGGAGTGACCCTGCCTGAGTGATCTGAGCTCAAGGATGTGTTTTGTCCAAGAGTTTTGTTGATGTGGGAGACCTGTACTCCAGAATTAGTAAGGGCTACCACGTGCATTTTTGATTTTAAGTAAGGTATTTTTCCAGCAAAAAAACCCAACCCAAGTGATTGAAGTATTCAGAAGTCATTCAAAGCCATGTCAGTGTTTGATGTGCGCTTGAATGTTTTCTGCAAATCTTCACTGACATAAATAAAGCATTCTGACTAAATTATTGCAAGTTCCTGACTCTCCAAAAGGTTCCTTTTAGTTTGCAGTTTTGTACATTGGAAAATCATTTCAGCTTAGTAATAGTAACAATATAGTTACACTTTTAACAACGGAAATTCCCTTTTTGTGGGGAAAACCATCAAAATGGGGAAGCCGTTTGTGTGTGCGCTTGTTAAACTTTGCGAGGAATATACCAGGTGAAAACCAGGCAAGGGGAATTTTGCCTGAGCACAGCCCTGCTTTGGGGGGCAGGAAACAGGATAGGAAAAATGAAAACTCATCTTCATATACAGCTATTATATCAGCATATACAGCTTACAGTGCCTAAGCCATTGTGAGTCCAGGCTCTGTTTTCATTCCCAGGGACACTTACTCCTATTAAGCGGTCCAGTGCCTACAGACACATTTCTGCTTGGCATGTTAGGATGGCACAGTCCTGAGCATGTTGGCCCATATGGTGGTAGCTTCTGCTGTTACTCATGTCAGTGAAGTGATGCAGGTGGACAGGCTCTCCACAGGGGAGCAGCAGCGCTGGAGGTGACACCATTTTTTCCTGCAAGTTCCAAGAACTGAGTCCAAAATTGCGTAGGTCTTGCATACGGAGAGAGAGGAGGTGTGACCAAGTGTCTTGACTATTGTGTGGCATGTATTTTTGCAAATCTAGAGGTGTCCCAGACAGAACACTGTGTATTCATATAGTGATTTATGATTTAAATAGTTGCTTTCTTCAGCTGCAGTCAGTACTGCTTGACAGGGGGAACTGGTTAGCTCTGATGAGCCCAGAAGTTTCCGGACTGACTACTGTATGTTATTGTGGGTCTCTCTTCAGCCCAGCTGCAGCATAGCTGGATGCTTGGAGCACTTTATTTTTCTTTATTTCTTTTTTTTTTTTCCTTTCTGAAAGCAGTCAATTCCAAAACTGCTATCTGAGATTCTCTTATAGATTCTTCCACTGAGTATGATATCGAAACTCAAGTTACTAGAAATAACCACACAATATGTGGTTTTGCGGTTAAAGGAAATGGTTAAGACTTATTTTTAATAAGAGGAAGTGAGAGGTTGAAGTATTCGTAGCTGCCTTACAGAGTGCTGTAGGTGCCATCTAGAGAAGAGGGATTTTCAAGGATTAAGAATTTTCTTGACTCTTAGAAACAAAGCAGGAAAACTTTACTTCCCAGGGAATCACAGCAGTTGCTAGAAGCAGTTAGAAACTTAAAAACTTTATACTTCATCTTCCTATTCAAAATCCAGTTTTGATGTCATTGTGCTTATACTTGTTAATTGTCCATACTTTCCTGTTTACTGACCTTCTGTGCTGCTGTCTTTTGAAACAGTTAAAAGTTTGTTGCTTTTAAGACAGAGTATCTGAGTGTATGTGTTTTTTTTACCTCTGAGAGTGACATGGAAAATATGAAAAGTGGAGTTAGTAAAGTAATAGCAGATGATGAGACAAAACTCATGTTAGATCTGTACCAAGGTGGACTTTTTGTAGTTTGTTGTTGTTTTGACGGATGACCCTTTGCTTACTGCTTTCAGCTGTCCCTTTGGCACTGTGACCAATATTAATCCTGAACTTGGAATTCTTACCATTGTGGTTTCTCTTCTGGTTTGTTCCTTCTGCTTGTTAAGAATTTCTCCTCAGTCAGCTAGGCTAGCAGTTGTATTATTGTTTACCCTGTAATTCTTTTGTCAGTACTTCATTACAGCTACATCTCTATAAATCAAAGACAGCAGGGGTTTTTCATATCACTGTGTCTCAGGTGAAGCTTGGATTTCATGGTTACCTTTCAGAGCAGACCATGGCTTGTGTTGGTGAGCTCTCTGTAGTGCTGCCAGTACTGTCAGCTCAGAGCGTTGCTGGAGAGTGGTGGTGGAGGAGAAGTAATCTTGTTTTTTCTGTCTTTTGTTTGTTTATGAAGCCCTTGGATACCGGGATGTATTTACAATGAAAGATTTCATCTTGAAATACCTGAAGTACAGATTTAGCCAGAGGAAACCTAAGGAGTGTGATTTTGAAGAATGTCTCAGCAGTGCTACTATCAACAGACCTGCTAGGGATGAAAGTTAAAGTTTTGAATTATTTAGAGTATATGTTAATCAAACTTGATGAGTCTATTATTTAGCATGAATTGCTTCACTACCAGTGTTCTGTTGTTTTTCGCAGTATAGGCTTTATATTTGTTTGCAAGATTTTTTTCTGAAAATGTCATTAAGAAAGTAAATTGACTTTCCCAACTCTGATGATTACATAGTAACCCAAAAATGAGAATCTGAAACGATTTCTTAGATGTGAACTGCATAACCGAACTGAAATCATAGATAAGGAACTTAATAAATATTTGCAGAGGTTTTAGCTGACTTCATATTTACCATTCCAAACTAAAAATGTGGTCCCAGTCCTCTTATGTGAGCAACACATAGCTTGGTGTGAAGCCAGATTTAAAATAATTTAACAGGTGATTGCCAGTTAGTTCTTTAAAGATGTAATAGTGGGAATATTGGGTTTTTACCCATATTGAGGATATTACTACTTAAACTTAGAAGTTATAACAGCCAGCTGATTGTTTGATTAATAGAACCAATCAATAAAATGTACTGTTTTGCTGAGGCACTAGAGTGGTTCTTCAGGAAAAAAATAGGAGAGATTTTAGGTGACTGGAAGAGCAGGGAGAAGTTTCCAATCTGCAGAGCTCTGAAGTTTGGAAGAGTGTAGGATTAGATTACTATTTTTATGCTGAGCTCTGTGCTGGAGTACAGAGCTTTGAGCTGAGAGGAAAAGCTTACCAGTAATCTAGACTTGAATAGTAAGGTTGGTTGGAATGGAGAGGTGATGTCTTCAGGTCACTGGGAAGTGTCTTGGGGTGGGGCAGTGTTGCGTTCACAGATATCAGCAGTTCTCCAAAGGTTAAGATGTTTGTGTCTGTGATCTTGGAGGGATGGCTCAGAATACTGTCCCACCGGTAAGCATAGGAGGAAGCCCAAAACAAACTCACAGTGCTGGCAATTGAAAAAAAAAATTCCTTTACTCAGGAAGCAAATGCAGTCTGGGGATACCATATCACATTATATTTTTTTCACATCAACAGTAGATGCCCATAATTATCTTGCCTTGTTTTTTGGCTTACCAGTACAAATTATCTGCCTCCATCACTGTTCATTTGTCTCGTCATGTGTTGACACAAAGACAAATCCTGTTTTAGTTGCAGGAGATTTTTAAGGTTGTGTGCATAGGAGATAGACCTGAAAAGTTGTAACAGTTCTCATTTTAGATTCAGAATAGACAAGACACTCCCATTGCCTTGCTTTCTTTTATTAAGACTTTATTTTATAAATTACATTCAGGAAAAATTTTGTGGTAGTGAAACTTCTCTTAATTTTTTATCCTTTGCATTTCACCTGCCCCCTATTTGATTAATGGAACCAAGTACTTAAACAGAGGACAATGTGAGTTAATCACTGTACAAACAGTGTCAAACCCACATATTTCTTTCATCAATGAGGCACAGGTCACTCTAGGATGAGCAGCTTAGGAGATACTTTACATGTTGACCTTAGCAAGGCTACTGACATGACCTCATTTGATTGTTCTCACCAACAATCTAAGGAAGTACAAATCTGGGTGAAGTCCTAATGATACAAACAGCTGGATAACCATGTTAGGGAACAGTTGTGAAGATTTCATTGTCACACGGTACATCAGCAGGGTCTCACTGAAGCGTGTCTTGCCTCTGGTTCCAGTCACTCGAACATTAACAACCTAGATGGCTACAGTGTACTTAATAAATTTATGGGTAGGAAACTGGAAGAAGTTACAGAACCTGAACTGAAGTTCAGCATGAGCTTAACAAATTGTAAGTATGGTCCAATAAATTTGGAGGTGGTTGAGCAAGTATGATTGTAAGCTATTATGTGCTTAGCAAAATTTAAAATGAAAAGTAATGAGATAGCAAGCCTGGAGAAAATAGCTGGGAAAGGTTAGGGACGTGCCAGGGCAAATTTGAGCCAACTAAGTTTTGCTGAAAAAATTCAGGGATGACATGAGGTTTTATAAACATGTGAGCAAGATAATTATGAAAAAAAAGTAAGCAATCTTTTTGTTCTACATGGCATACACTGAGATTCATCCAAAACATACCTGATTAAACATACTTTTCAAGATAGGTGTAGACAAAATGGAGAAAGTTCAGAGGAGAATAATGAAAGGGAGGGATGGTGCAGAAAATTTCACCCATTCAGAAAATGGGATTATTTTTTCTTAAGTAAATTAATAAGTGATACAATTCTTTAAGTATTTAGGACTGCTTTAGAGAGAAGGGGAATAGTTTGTGCAATTCAATATGACCAGAGATCAAGAAATGATGGATTAAATGAAATTAAATATTGGAAAATGAAATTAAATATTGGAAAATGAAATTAAATATTGGAAAATGAAATTAAATATTGGAAAA